CACACATGTCGAAATTGCTGACGATGTCCTCATCAAAATTCATAATGACCGTGTTGACAGAAAATATCAACCGAAGGGGTCCCCAAATATTCATAATGCCTCCCAAACATCATATGCTACAATAAAGCATATAATACCCATAAAGCATATGCTACCCCGATGATGGTTGTGTTGAACGTATATCTCAACTAGAGGGGTTAATTTCAAATATTCAAAATACCTCCCAAATACTCATGAAAATTCAAAAGTCTAAGAAATCACAAAAGCCTAAAATATTTAAAATTGAAATGAACCATCAAAACGCTTAAAGCAATGCTCATCACTCTTCGCAACAGTTTGTCGGGGTGGAAAAATTTAAAAACTACTTTATCTCACAAAGAGTTAATGTCTAGTCAAGAATATCACTATGATTCATTCACAAATAATTTCCTATCAGTAAAGACGTGGCGCATGGTCTCTAACGGGCGATTTTTCCGCCACATGGCACCGCATGTAAACGGTTATGACCAGGGCCCTCTGAACCGGGTGGTTTGCTGCCAAATGACGCCACTAAATTAAGGCCATGGCCAGAGCCCATATGCTCCCCAATGGTACTAAATCCTTGAGGTATGAATCAATAGAATATAATCGATAGAGCAGACAGCCCTCCGTCTGCTAAGGTGGATTCAAATTTGTCCCTTTAGATAAATATTCACCTCAGGTCTAAAAGGTACCCTTGGACGAAGCAACTCTTGGCTGCTGACAAGGATTCTTCTATCAGGCTGGGTTGATTACCTCCTTTGACTAAGTAGAGCAAGGACCATGATGGCCCTGGACGATAGAACCATGTGATCTTGATAGGGCTCATCATCCATTCCCTCACCATCCGCTAGTTGGTAAAGTTTTTATTTTAAATATCAAATATTCAAACACCTAAATCCATGCTGCGACTATATGCTTGATACATATATCTACGTATCCGATCGACGACTAGCTTTAATCAAAAGTTCTCTCTCGTTATTGGGAGGGATAATTAAAAATAAGGGCTTCCGTCTATAGGAAAACAGAAATCAGATCTAAAATCCTCGCAAAATGAGGGCAAAATCTTTGGGTAGTGTCTTATTTCAAACCCAATCTATCTTCTGAAAATTTACCCCGAAATCTAATTTGTTAAAACTCCCCTGAAAGTAGAGGAGGCTGGGCCACGAATTTTCGGAGCCCATAGCCTCAAAGTAGTTTTTAAAAAAAATATTATTAAGTATATGCCTTATCTTGGCTGCATGAGGCATACACTCAATGGTGTTGAGATATGCCTTTGCGTAACTCATAAAAAGGGTAAGCCTTCAAAATTAGGGTTTATGTATTTTAAAGTTTTTTATTTATAGTTTAATGTATATTATTATTGCTTTGCACCCAAACCTTAATAAATACAACCGAGAACCAAAATTGCATGCACCTCCTTGACTCCTACTTGCACCCAACACTCGCACCCAATGCCTCTTACACTTGTAGTAGCACCTGAGGATAAGGTAGGAGAGAAAGCAGCTGACTTCAACAATGATAATAATAAAGACCCACTAGGTAATGTAAGTGGGGTAGACTATTTATATTGAATTAAGAGTGTGGAAACTTATTGTTATGTATTTTGATATTAGTATGTTACTTATTATTTCATTTTTTAATTAATTTAAGGATTTATTTTTGAGTTTGCATTTTAAAATATTTTGAGGTTTACGCCTTGCCTCACTAACAGAAAATGCTTCAATACCTTTTTTAATAAATTTAAACCTTTAAAAAAGGTAATATAGCATTATCCTTTGAATGATAAGTATAAACTAATTTATGTTTTTAAAGGTTGTTAGGTTCTTCCTACTCAAGGAAGGAACTAGGATTTCAATAAGGGGGTGAAAGGGCTTAACCAAAATTTAGAGGATCAAAGTTTTTATACTATACACAATTGCAAAAGCATTGAAGGATAAGCTTTCATTATTATACATAATTACAAGGGACTATCTCAAATATCGGGGCAAGAGCCACCCCTATCCCCCTTGTTCCACTACTATTGCCACTGGCTTGCTCTTTGGAAAAACTTTCAATAAGTTATTATCACTTTTGAATGTACTTTTGATTATGAGAAAAATACCAACCATGCTTTCATTGTTTTTTTTTTTTTTCCTGTCAGTGTTATTCGTCCCTGGAGCAATCCCTGGCTTGTGTGGTCTATAGCGCTGACTATGCTTCTCCATTTACTAATTTTGTACATTGAACCTCTCTCCATCCTTTTCTCTGTAAGTCGCTTTCCATATTACCAATGCTTCATCTACAAAGTTGTTCTTCTTTTCAATAATTTCCTAAAATACTTTAGCATTCATTTTCACAGGTAGTTCCATTATCATGGACCGAATGGAAAGTTGTCCTGTATCTCTCTTTTCCTGTTAGTATATCTTTTCACTCTTCTTTTGCATTGATGGTTGCTATTTTTCCACACTTGCTTTTTTTTTTTTCCTCAAGGATTGTGTTTTGAAGGATGGGTTTTCTGATATTTTTAATTAGTGATTATGGAAAGACCCAGTGCAGGAAGGCGACATAAATAATATTTTTGTGAATGCTACTGCTTACTGAAGAATTTCCTCATTGAATAAAGACATCTTTCACACTTGCATTATCATGTTTTATTTACAGTTCTCTTTACATATATTTTATCATTATTTTTGTATTTTTATGTGAAATTTAATAATTACTTTGATCTATTGTCTCATAACGCTAGGTGCTGATAATTGATGAGGTTTTGAAGTTCTTCTCAAGAAGATCTAGAGGTAACACAGTTCTTTTTGACCTTCAAATTTTCTTTCAATAAAGTTATGTGACCTTAGCACCCTAAATGATAATAAGGATTTCTGTTTTTATCGGCGTATTAGTAATACTGAAGTTAGAGAGGCTTTAAAGAAAATGAAGGGTGGAAAAGCTGTTGGACCTGATGATATTCCAATAGAGGTGTGGAAATGCTTAGGAGATGAAGGGATTTCTTGGCTTACTAAACTTTTTAATACTATTTTGAAGACTAAAAAGATGTCAGATGAGTGGAGAATGAGTGTGTTAATTCCTATTTTTAAGAATAAAGGTGATGCACAAGATTGTACGAATTATAGAGGTATTAAGTTAATGTGTCATACTTTAAAACTATGGGAGCGAGTTATGGAGCATAGGTTGCGGCGTGATACTAATGTTTCTCAAAATCAATTTGGATTCATGTCGGGTAGGTCGACTATGGAAGCAATACATTTATTAAGAGGTTTGATGGAGAAATATAGAGAAAATAAGGAGGATCTGCATATGATATTTATTGATTTAGAAAAAGCATATGATAAAGTTCCAAGAGAAGTGCTATGGAGAGTTCTTGAAAAGAAAGGAGTCAATAATGCTTATATTCAAATCATTAAAGATATGTATGCAAGAGCTATTACTTGTGGTCAAACACAATGTGGTTTGACCAAGTATTTCCCTATTTCGATTGGGTTACATTAAGGATCAGCCTTAAGCCCATATCTTTTTGCTTTAGTCATGAATGTTCTCACTAGACATTTGTAAGATGATGTACCTTGGTGTATGCTTTTTGCTAATGATATTCTTCTTGTTGATAAGACTAGAGAGGGAGTTGAAGGTAAACTTGAATTATGGAGGTCACTCAGGTGGATGAGTAGCTTTACCCTTAGAGATAGGATACGAAATGAGCATATACGTGAAAAGGTTGGAGTAGCTCCAGTAGAAGATAAGATTAGAGAGAGTCGCCTTAGATGGTTTTGTCACATAAAAAGGTGGCCTTTCGATGATCTGGTTAGGAGAGTAGAGGTATTAGATTTGACTTGTGTTAAGAAAGGTAGGGGTAGACCTAAAAAGACTTGGTTAGAAAATATTAGGAATGACCTTTCTTTATTAGATTTAAATGAGAATTTGACTTTTAATAGGACACAATGGAGAAAAAGGATTCATGTAGCCGACCCCACGTAGTGGGATAAAGGCTTGATGTTGTTGTTGTTGTTGTTGTTGAAGTTATGTCAATAAGATGCTCCCATGCATCCTGTAACTGCGTTAAAAATGTTGGCCAACAGTTACTTCTTAGTATTGACAGTGCAAGGTTAAGAATTCTGTTCAACCAATATAACTATTATGACTATGGCCACTACTGAAATTAAATATGATCATATATTAATTAGTCCCCATTAGTCTGTTGCTTGTTCCTTATCTGAAATGTGCATTCAATAAGTAATTAAGAAACCTTTGCAGGTATCACTTATTTATTAATAAAATTGAAGGCTAATGATACTGCAATTTACTTCGAACTTATCCTATTCTTATGCCCAATTATGACTTCATACAAAACTGATTATAATGATTATGTAAACCTGCAGGTAGGAATTTCAATTTTAGGTTCAGAAGGGCTGACTTACTTCCCAAGAGAGAAGAACACGACAAATAAACTTAATACGACACCAGTCACAATTTTTTCCTTTTTGCTTGTTTGAAGAAGAAGAGTTAAATTAGGCAGAAGCTTTGGCCACAGAATTCTTATGACAACCTGTTTAAGTGCAGGGGAAAGAAAACCACAGAATTTATCTTGTTGAGCGTGTACAACTGTGTTGAGATAGTTTTGAGTGAGATAATTGAGATTGCATCCATTATTCTAATAGGAATTTTGATATCCATATATATATATATATATATACACGCATGCTTCACTGTTCATGGAAGGTATCTATTTTGTTATCTTGCATGAGTTTTGCTCTTTTCTTACCATCGGGCAATGATATCAGAAATTTTGTAATGAATACACGAATCGAAGGCACAGGTGAAATTTCAAACTAATCTGGAGGCGTAGAAAGCCTTGAGTTTTAATGGACGACCAATGGCAGCTAAACTATTGTGTTTTATTAACTTCTGCATTTCTTTAATGACTTAAGATGGTAAACAAACTTTTGTCAGTGAGACGTGAGAATTGTGTTAGGACCAATGACACTAGGCTAATTTCGTTTGTCAATTACGTGGGGCTTCAGGTTGATTGTATTATAAAAAGTGAAATCAATTTTTCTGGTGTTGTTGAGAATCAATCGCACTTGTATAACATTTTTTTCCTTTTTTTTATGTACAAGTTGATCAAGAGTAAATCTTGAATTCTCATTTTTTTCACTAGATGGCTAACTTGTGGGGATTTAAAATAATTGATAATGTTATACATAGAGATATTATTAATCATGGCACTAGTATTGCAACGTTGAAATTATAGATCATATATATGTTGGTACACATTCAAAACTCTGGTTTTCATTGTGGGTTTCGTTTATCTGCTTGGTTTCTTTTTCGTCTTGTTTTGTCACGATTTTCTGGCATCATGCATGAGCTTATGCAGTAAACCCTAATCTCTTACAATTGAACTACTATAGTCTTGCTCTTTTTTCTCCCCCAGTACTTCAACAAATGGTACCCTCTTTTTAGGCCCCTTTGTTTCGTCTAACTGCACCTCTAGCATGATGTAATGGATGTTTGTTGTGAAAAACAAAACAATCTGTTTCTTTTATAAGTTTTATATTTTTGGTATTAATCAAGTCGGCATGGCATTTCATGATCTCTATTCCTTTTGGTTTTAACTTTTTATTCTCATGGAGTAGGGGGGAAAAACCAAGGAAAGTCTTGGTAGCTATGAATGATAAAATGTAGCAATTTAGGTTTGTTAGGGACCGTTTTCTTATTGATTTTTAAAATAAATTATTAATATAAATTTTTTTAATTAAATAAATATTTGAAATGAAAAATTTATTTAGAAATCTATAAGAAATAGGCTTCATTTAGGATGACTTTTTATTTCTTTATAAAGTTATTTTTTAATATATATATTAAAATAATGTTTCAAAATTGTCTCAAACAAACAGTTTGTGTTTATTAAATAGTTTGTGCTTATTAAGTAAAAAATGAATTGTAAATTTTCTCAGCAGTAGGACTTATGGATAATGGATGTACGTAAGTAGTTTGTTCATATGCATCAAGATTATCAGCCCTTGATGGTCTAAACGTGACAATAATTTAAGTTATTTGATCAACATTTTTGAAGATAAAAAGGATATTATTGTTTGATCTTCCTGCTGATTGATTCAAATCATCATGATGAGTCTGAGTCCGGAGCATGAATCTCGAGGAAGTGTTCATCGTTATGATGAAATGAGCGCATGGATCTCAATTAAAATAGTTCTTAACACCATCTTCTTACACCATATCCAAGCTGAGCTCAAACGAGTAGGAAGATCAAACAATAAGGAGATTCTATTTGAGTTTTCATTTGTTCTTATGTGTACAGGATAATTTTGAGTGCAATAATCAAGTTGATTCCCTCGTCACAAACATGTTATAATTTCATTTTAGTTCATTCATGCTTTTATCCTTCTTTATATTATATTTCAAGTGTTCACATCATTCACATTGCAAGTCTTTATGCCTATAATTTTTTTTTTTTTAGCTTCATTTTCTTTAGCAAATCATTCTTATTTTATCCTCTTTTTTATTTTTTTGTCACCTCTCAATGTGAATTTGAATAGCATCCTCGTATCTTTCCTTTGTCCGAGTTATCATCAAAAGTGCTATGATTAAAAAAGTGAGATGATTAGACTTAGGTTTTGTTTGGGACAACTTTTTTGTTACTTTTTAAAATAATTTTTTAGCACAAAAATTTCTTGAATTAGAAAATTTTGTACTAAAAAATTATTTTTGAAAGCAATAAATAGGCTGCCCGAGGCTTTGTTTGGAACGACTTTTTCATTGCTTTTTAAAGTAATTTTCTAAGATAAAATTTTTAATTTTTGTATTAAAAAGCAGTTTTAAAAAACAGTAAAAAGGTCATCCCAAACTATAGCTTAATTTCGTGTGAACCCCAATTGGCTGCACCAGCCAAAAAAGTAGATTTCCATTGCATTGGAACAATAAACACGCATACTTATTCTACATTTGATTAACAGGGAACTACTACTACAAATTTCTCCGCCTGTAGAATCAAACCGCATGAGTACTTATTTCAAAAACTTCTTTTTTGCATTAAAACAACAAGAAGCACAAGTACTTAAATAGGGTGCTATGTTTGATATTTCAAATTATAGCTTCGAGCAAGGGCAATGGCAAAAATACAAAATTATCACTCAATCATTTGACCTGCCATCTAAAATAAATAAAAATGATACTTTGTTTGAAGTCTCTCTCGTTACAAACGCATCAAATTACAAAGATTTATGAGAAATCCACCGATTAAACAGAGCCGAGGTCTCCATATTCCTATCCTTTGCCGGCTCATGACCTCCACCCTACAGCAAGAAAGCAAGTAATAAGAGTTTTTGCATAACAGCAAAGAGCTCAAACAATCGAACAGAAGAACATCAACATTGAAAGAAAAAACTACTGGTTACCTTCACAGTTGCATATGTTAAATTTTTCGAGTACCTCACTGTGTATCTAAGTAATAAATCATCAAAACACTGAGAGAATTAGCACAACAATAAGTAAGAACATTAGCTTTCACAGTTCTTAGGAACCTACCCACCAACTTGACCGTTAACATGCCACGATCGCCATGGTTCGATGATTGACAAGTTGAGAGATCCTATCCACTCCATTGTTCCCAAAAATGGAACAGTCAAGTCATGGTCGCCACTGTTTAAACAGGTTTCTGCTTACAATACTTAAAAGTAGATAAAGAATGAATAAGCCAACTTAAGGGGCTTCACCTGAAAACCAGAGCACGGTAACCTCTGGCTATTAAATCATGATGGTAAGGTATACTGCTATTGACCAGTGCATCATCGTAGGGGAAGTCATCCCTGCAAATCTGCCATTCCTTCACAGTTCCCTGTTTACCATCATTAACAGAAGGCTTCAAGTTTTGAAATTTGTGTAAAGACGTAGTTAAGATACGCTCGTTGTTACAAAAAAAATTGATTTAGAATATTATGCCCTCTAAGAAAACATTAAAAAAATCTTGCATTCCATAAATGACCGATTTTGTTTTTTTGCTTTGATTCTTAACATAGATGTGGAGGAGGCCCTTGTATCCAATAAGTTATTTAATTCTTTTTTTTTTTTTTAATATTTTGGTACGAACTTGACTCAATGCCATAACTAAAATAATCAGAACTAATCTACAGCTTGTGCACAATAGCAATCCTACATCATAAAAGCATTAGATTCAAATAAATATTTCATGAAGGTTATGTACCACACAATACAAACTTATGCATCATTTTGCTAAGAGATTTAGCAGTGGGCTGTTGCTTCTGGGTTTTCAAACATTGTTTAGGAATTTATTTCATTCAATTATATAATCTCTCCCTAAATGTCATCCAGAAGACCGAGAATAAAGCTAACCTCCTTGACATGGAGAGCCGCTCTGGTATCGTTGTCGTTTGCCCAGTGATAGGCAAGATAACTAGCATATGTCTGCAGGATTTTGATCAGAAAAAGCAAAAGAAAGACTTAGGTGTTTGCATTAGAAGGGTTTCATAATAACAGTGGAATTACTAACTGAGCATTTGATATCAGGAACAGGAGGAGGTGAGCGAAGATCTGTTGATTTTTGCTTTAGTATAGATCTGTCTGCTTCAGCTGCATTACTCAACGCTGGCCTTGTGGATTCCCCTTCGCATTTTTTAGTCAAAAAGTTATCCATCATTAGCTCATTCATGAACTGCATACACGCACAACAAATCAGCTCAAAGAACAACTAGAACTAAGAATGATTCTGTAGGAATAAACATTCTTACACCCCTAAAGATCTTGATCTGTTCAATACAAGGACCAGTCCTAGGCCTTTTGTAGTTTTCTCCTGGGCAGCTTCTCTGAATAGCCTGCTAATTGATAAATGAGATTCAAAAGGTTGTACTTATGAACAGTCCCATCGTGAAGAACTGGCTTTTACATTGCAAATTCAAAGTTTAAAATCAGACTTTGCCATAAGAATGGCTATTGCACACACCAGCCATCTTATAACAAGTTCTGATTAAAAATCTTCATGAACAAACCTTGGTAAACAAGACAAGTTGTTCTTAAATATATATATATATATATATATATATATATATATATAATATCGTGGATATATATATATATATATACCCATTTTTATGCATGTGCAAGTCTAGAAAAGTGTACCTGAAAAAGTTCATCTGAAAGGATACCCATTCCATGGGCATACGGGACCCTTGAATTGACGTCATGTACCGTAGAAGTGACTGGGTTATTGCTTATATAACCCTGAAACCATTCCAACAAAATAAAATATCATAAAATCTAATATTGAGTTGAATGGTAAAACCTCTCTTTATATAAATGTATGCATGTCCACAAAACAATTTCATTGATCTTTTATGTGAAAACCACAAAAAAATGATAAATGATATATTAAGCGAGTGTTGTGTACCTTCCATTAAATCTTAATCTATATTATTCAACATATAATAAAGAGCACCCACAAATCAATATTAGCTTTAAAAAAGTGGCCTCCATTAATCTATTAGACCTAATAGCTCAAGAGGCCCTCAAGGTAGGAAGAGGATTCAGTAACCAACATTATCTTACAGAAATTATCTATAATAAAGTAACACTGAGAAAATCCCGGCACAACTGGCAACATGAAAGTACAAACTAGAAGAGTTTGGCATTTAAGGAGTATGGATAAAGTGATAAACTGATTTTCTATCTGATTCACTTCAGATTTTATGAATTGTCTAAGTTAGCATCCCAAATTCAACGAGGGCTACAAGTGGTCTTTGAAGGCTTAGATGAGTGGCTCCTAACAGGCTTCCAAGAATATTAAAAAAAGGGCAAAAAATAAATCAAAACTAACATTAGGAAACATGTTGAGGAAGATCTTTGATGAGGACATCCAACTATGAAGAGTCTATCAGAGAAGGGGCCGACAATCTACGGCCACGGTCGCACCACTTTATTTTTGAGCTATCATTTGTATTAGGTTTATTATTATGATATGTGTATTTAATTTATTATCGCAGTTTTTCCGTTTTTACCTTCACTTGAGGGAGTAGTTGTTTGTGATCCTTAGGGGTACTTTTTTCTTTTATCTTGCTATTGTATTTTGGCTATTTAAAGCCCCGTCCTCTTCCTTTTGAGGGGATGATGATAATTATTAAAAAGAAAATTCTGCACTTGTGTTTTGGGAGAGCTTGAGAGTTCTTGTAAGAGTTGAAGTCCCTAGGTGAGGGCAAAGAACTACCCGTCAGCCGCAAGAAGCGTCCGGGCTCACGGTCCAACTCCTCCTTCCCCTCCAAACTGTCGGCCACCACCTCCTTACCATCCAAACCACCGGCCCTAACTCCACCTAGCCCCAAGCTCCATCCCCTCCCATAGCCGCCGGCCTCCCTCTCCCCAAACCCTAGCCTAGCCACCGGCCACTTCCACCCTTTCATTGGATCCAAAATTTCCCTAGCCTTTACTACTTTCCTAAATTAGATCATGATGAATTTGGAAGGATAATTAATTCAATTTTGACTCAATTTCAAATTTGAATTCTTTCCTAATTGACATGAGTTATATTTGGAAAGTCTCTCAATCAAATCAATTTGAATTTGAACTCAAATTAAAAGAAATATAGACATTAAATCTCTTTTAATTTAACTTGACTTGCTTGGAAACTATTTGAAATTTTCCAAAACTCCTCCTTCCCTCCCTTAGCCGCCGGTCCTGCCCTCTCTCCTCTCTAAATTCTACTTCCATTAATGCTCCTAATTAAATTAATTATCTCCACCATCAAATTTGAAATTAATTTCAAAATTAAACTCTGAAATAAAAAATCAGCCCTCTTCTCCTAGCCTTGGCCGACCACCCAAGCTCCTCCCTCCTCTACATCTCCTCTCCTACGCTTGGTACTTCACCTAAGGAAGAGAAGCAAAACCTCTCCCTCCCCAACACCTTGTTTGGTCTCGTTACTCATGGATGGCCGATCTTGAACGTGATCACGGCTTCGTATTCGACAACCAAAGGGTTCATTGACATCCAATGATCTCCTTTCTTCGACATTGACCTAGAGAACAACCTCTCCGTTGAAGATTACATGGAACGAATCCTCTTCTCCCTTGTCACCGCTATTGATCAACAATAACCTCCCGTTTAGTTGCAACTTTCTTTCGAATCTTAACAAAGGTGAACTCTCTCTCGAATCTTATTTCTTCCAAGTCCCTCTTAATTGTGACATCATAAATATCATGCAAGCTTTTTCCACTTAACCAGTTAATAAGAATGAGAGTGAGGGATCTTAAATAGTGACTATTCTAAATGTTAATTAAGGGATTTCTTTTGAAAGCTCCACATTAAGCAAAATCTAATTTGATTGGTTATTTTGTGCTATAAATCTTTATCCTATAATATATTGCTTGAACTAAATGATTGCTTTATTGTTTTTATTCGTCGTTTAAATCGTTGGAAGTGACTAATTGCTCTTGCTCTTTCAAAAGCGTAAAATTTCAAAGGTAAAACATCAACAAACATATTTAGTCCTACATCAACCTTGCTAATCAAAATTGTGCTCCTCAACAAGCATGTTCAAGTGACTGCTAAAAGGCCCAACTCTATGCCCTCATTCTTAAGCTGGATCCATATAATTGGCTCCTTGAAATCCCTAGCCCATAGAATATCTATTATATGCTTCACATGATAGTCAAGTCATCTATCCAAAGGAAGTACCATGCCTTCTCAATAGTCTGCTTGCTGGGTGGCTCTTTCAGGATTTCTAGCTAAGCAACCATCTTCAAGATGGCTCTTTACAGTGAAACCTCTATCAGCTCCACCAACGTGGTTGGAAATTTTGTTACCAAGGAAATCCCCTGTCGTTCACTCAAGCCACCTAACAGTTTAGATCTTTCAAGTAGGACTTCTCTAGTGTTGTGAAGAGTGTGTCCATCTTGACCTCTACATCATCGCAGTCGTTGCTAGGGCTTTGCCTTCTACAAGCTTTGGACGTTATGCTTGTCTTTACAACTTTACTAAAGAAAGTCATATCTACTTTTTAGCCCTAATCTACTCTTCGCCCAATCAATGACCACTAATAACCCTCTTGTTCACCCTTTTTCCACCTCTTGTCCACCCTTTTTTCAACTCTTATCAACCATGCCCTCCAATCTCTTTTAGTTTAGTTGGTGCTTGGTCTTCATTGTTAAACTTTGGTTCACCTGCCTATGCACTTTTAATAGATCATCCTACCACATAATTTCCTTTCAATAATCAATCCTGCATCAACTCTTGCTCGATGGTGGTCATCAAATTGACTTCTGCTGGCATCTCTATTGGTGGTTCCCTAGATACCTCCACTTGCTCACTTGCATAGCCTCTGCTAGTGATCTTCTTAGTATAAGATCTAGCTCCAATCTAAAGGGCTATTTGCATCAATTAGGTCATTTTTAACTGATTCAGGCCTATTGGGATGATTGGACGTAGTTAATTTCATCAATCATACAATTTCCGTATAAATGACCTAATTGAGCCCTATTAAGGTAATTAATGTTATTGGGGTTCTATCCTAGTCCAATGGTCAACTAGGGTCAATTCACCTATGGTTTTATGATAGCAACCCTACAAAGGTCTAGATAATCAATTGAATTAATTGGTTCAAAATCATCAATGGGATCTAAGGTTAAGGGGTTATCAGGGGTGGATTGACTTTTGGTCTAATTTAGGTCCATAGCTCAAGCTCAAAGAATTCAATGTCCAATGATAATCACATGCATGTAATTGAACCACTAGAGAATTGAATGTTTATTTCACTATCTGAGTACACTTGAACCAACTAGAGCTAAGCCAAAGTTAGATCTAAGGGCCAGCCCTAGTCAAACTCAATCAAAAGAGAAGATATGATTAAATATGGAATGATCAAAAGTTTCCTCCTACGGGCTTTGCTAAGTCCAACAAAGTCCTATATAGGTCAAGCTAAAGGGGGTTTCATGACTAATAGTAAGGGAAAAGCAAGCACAGGTCAGATTTGACCATTTTAAATGTTGAACCTGGCCCATCAAAAATTTTTTATTCCCTCCCTTCCTCGTGCTCATTCAATTCAAATAATTTTTACACATAATGAGAAAATATATGTACCTGGAGGTTGATTAATGGGTGTTGTCCTGCTCCAATTCCTAGGATTCAACATGGTCCAAATTTATAATCAAATAACTGTTGGGACAATTTTGATAAACACTATTAATTAAACAAAAATTATCAGAAAAACGTTTTATTGTGTGCCACAATTGGTACCATCTTGCCGCCATATGAATTACCACCAACATAGAAAGGGTTTGAGAGAAAATGCGGGTGATCAAGAAGCCACTAAAAATCATTTCACATAATTCACAATAGGATCAAAGTTAAATCATGAAAGGAACAAACCAAGAATTTGAAATACTTGAGTCAACATAATAATATTGAACACATATCGAGCTTATAAAGTCATGCTCAATAAAAATTGAAATAGTTTCACGTATGCACCTGCTTAAGAAAATTGTAAATTTCTTTTGAAGATTTAATGTCATTTGTGATATAGCTTTCATCATTTCTCAAGAATGAGAATCCAGTCATAGCAGGCCAGTCCAAGAAGATAACATTGGAGATCTAAAAGTACCCAAAAAAATTATAGGAGAAGATGACAGAAATAAGTGGAAGAATATTTCTTAAGGCAATAGTTTGTTCACCTTTGTCCAAGCATAAGGATTATAAACTAACATAGGTAAGGTTCCATTATAGGGGGCAACCTTGAATCGAATGGGGCCTGCATGACATAAAAAAAAGTAGAAAGTAAAACAATTTCCTAACTTCACGGGCCTAATCACTTGATCAAGTTACCTTAGCTTTTCAAAAAATACGCACCTATCCCTGAACAAACAACAAAGAAGGAATTATAAAAATAAAAAAGTGTGGGCTCCAAAAATTCCCACGCCCTGGCCTCTCCGCACCATCTCTTTTTTTGTTTGTGACGGCGGAGAGTTTTAATGAGCATAGGCTCCGGGTGAATTTTGAGAAAACAGAATGAGAATTAAACATTACCTAGTGATTTCGCCCTCATTTTATGAGGACATTATGATCTGAGTTTAGGTTTCCTATAGGTGTAAGCCCTTATAGTTAATTACCCCTACCGATAAATGAGAGAGAACTTTCGATTAAGGCTAGTAGTTAAAGAGGTCGCATAGGTCATAAATTCAGTGTATAGTAGCAATAGTTTTAGGGTTTGAATTTGGGATATGATTTTTGGAGTTTGAGACTTTAAAGTTTATTATCATAATCTTAAAAATGGTGATGCGGGAATGAATACGAGCCGATCAAGATTACATGGTTCCATCGTCCCGGGCCGTCATGGTCCCTAGTCTACTTAGTTAGAGGAGATAGTCGACCCAACCTGACAGAAGGCGCCTTATCGGCAGCCATGGGTTGCTTCGTCCAAGGATACCTTGTAGACTTTGGGTGATGTTTGTTTAAGGGAATGTATTTGAATCCACCTTAGCTGACAGAGAGCTTTATGCCTATTGAATATACCCTATGATTCATTACTCAAGGATTTGAAGTCGTTAGGGAATATACGGCTTTGGTCGTGATCATAAATAATGGTGTCATTTTGCGGAAAAACCACCCGATAAGAGGGCACATTTCACATACTTGCTGGCAAGAGACTATTTGAGAATGAATCTTAATGATACACCCGACACGACATTAACTCTTTGTGAACTTAGATTAATTTTAAATTTATCACCTTGACAAACGGTTGCAAGAGGTGAATTTTAATTTTAAGTTTTTTTAGATGATAGATTTCATTTTAAGGATTTAGACTTTTATTGTATTTGGGATTTGACCCCTCCGGTTGATATTGCCTGTCAACACGGACATCATCGAGGTAATGTTAAATTCACTATATTATTGTAGGAATTTGGAAGACATTTTAAATGTTTGAGGTCGACTCCAATCCTTTCATGGAGAAGGATGAAGCTTGAACATTTGACCCGTGCAGCATTCTCAGCACTGGCATTTTCAAATTTATCGCATTTGTCAGAGCACATGCTAGTCATGTTTTTCAAGTGTATTTTCAATATTGTCGTAAGGATATCGCCTTCTGTCCGCTTGTACAAATAGGGTTGCGGATCCGGTGGTTTGTAAGTATGTTGGATTTCACTTTTCAATTTAAGCATATTATCCTTCAAATATTAAGCCTCTATACCCATGCTCGTGATATTATATGATCTTATCATTGTGGTGAAGATAATATAATAAAACTTATATTTATTTCCCTTCATAAGCAAGCACATTTTTTTCATTACATCTATATTTCGAGTAGGGCTGCAAACGAACCGAGCTGAGCTGAGTATGTGAGTGTTCATTTAATATCAGGTTGTTCAAGTTTTTGTTCATGTTTGTTCGAGCTTTATTGTTTGTGTTCATGTTTGGTTCATTTAAATTAATGAGTGTTCATGTTCGGTTCATGTTCAGTTCATGTTCGTTCGTTTAGTGCTTATCGAGCTTTAAATAAACAAACATGAACAAGCTATAAACGAGCTCTACTTTTAGATGTTCATTAATTTAACAAATGAGCTTTATCGAGCTTCCTAACAAACGATTACATCGAGCATGTTCGCGAACATATTTAACGAATTTTTTTTAACTATCAAACAAACACGTTCATGAACATATCTATACAAACACATTTATAATAAAAATACTTCCGCCTTCTTTAGCCCGCGCATTTCGGAAGAAAAATTAGGACTCAGGTCTCGGGAAGATAAGATAATGAGGCAACGAGCCAACAATAACGAAATAAGCCCGCCTCTTTTTTTGACATTGCTAATTACTATCATTCACTTAAATTTAATAAAAATACTTAATTAACATATAATATAATATTATTCACTTTAAATTTTATTATTTAACAATAATTATATCATTATATTATAATAAATATATAATATTTATATTATTTATATTTATTAATTATATAATCAAATATTAATAATTTTTATCGAGCTTATTCACGAGTTCAAAATCGAACACGAATCGAGCTTCTTATCAAGCTTAATGTCGAGCTTGTTCACAAATTTCAAATGATGTTGTTCGCGAACATAAATGAACCGAACACATTAGTGTTCAAGCTTGTTTATTAAAGGATCGAGTATTTAAAATGTTGTTCAAGTTTATCTGTTTAGTTAGTTAAACGTTCACAAATGAGCTTTAATCGAACCGAGCATCGAGTAGCTCGTCGAATGCTTGGTTCGCTTGCAACCCTAATTTCGAGCTCGCCCATATGTATTGATTACATTGTTAATGAGCATTAAGAACAACACCAGTTTAGTGTTTTATCTATAAGCTCTTACTTGGCATGTCCACTAACAAGCATATAGTAAGTAATGGAGCTTGATTTGACACATCATTAATGCTTTATAGCATCAACAATAATATGATGGCTTATACTTTTCAATAATATGACTATTGCCTCATAAGTTAGTTCACATTTGTAGGAAGACAACTCAATATAATGTAATCGTCTATTAATTGATCTTGACCTTTCATAAGCAACATAAACAAGATGCTTAATAACTTAAAACATAGTGAAAATCATTCATCAAATGAATATCTATGTTATAGATGTTGACTCATTTACTAGCTGATGCAGAACTAGATGTGTAAGTAATATTGAGTTGGAAATTATGCATGCGTGAACAGAGATTGACAATTAATTAACTCCGAATGAATTTAAATAAGGACTTTAGCTTGCAAGGGGGCGATCAAGTATAAACAAGTAATTGCATGATAATAGGAGGACCATTATAAAATCAAATAAATTAATATCATGCTCATGTGATGTTTCAGAGACAATCCCTAAATTAACAAATAGACTAGTCACTACAAAGACCCACTCACACAAGCTCTTAGTATGGGTTATGCAGATAAGTTTTCACAATAAAATGATGTCATAATTGATGAGAGATCAAAAGGTATAATGTATGGGAAAGAGTTTACCCGCATAGATGAAGATACTAAGCCGCGGCGAAGTCGTTTGGATGTCTCAATGGGAAGGACGACAATATGAATCCCTTTCACACGTTTAGACAATGTTCTATTGTCCCCGGCAATCTGGACAGCAACTTATGATGATTTGGGAAGGAGATAGCAAGCGCTTGATAGTAGGAAAATAGCCACAATCATCATTGGATGGCAACCGAAACAAGAGGACAGCAATTAGCAGAAATATGGACCTAAGATTTATGTCCTAATAATTTTGCATAATTATGGTAAGGATCAATGGAAGGGGGGACGACCCAAATCAAAGATTAGGGCTGATTTGGGGCCCTAATTGGGTTGACAATTAAAGCATATTGTTAAAGGATAGAGGAATTAATTCAAATGTTCAATCAATACGCAGATTTGATGATGGGGATATCCTTCCAAACATATCCCAACACTTTAGGAAAGGAATTCAATGCTTTAGGAGAATTCAAATTTAAATTCAGATATTCATAAATTAGACTAGGCTAATTTAGGAAGGATAATCAATAAGGATTCTCACTTAAATTTCAGATTTATTAATGGGGATACCTTTTCAAAAATAATACAACAATTTAGGAAATAAATTCAAGGTTTTAACATAATTCAAATTTGAATTCAGGATAATCAATGAGAATTGTGTCTCAATCACTGGATGATCGATCCCAGGGGATTCGATTCGACCTCTTCCACACAGGTTAACATCGTCCAGCACCACTCTGACATACAATCTTTGATAGGTCAAACATCCTAAGAGAATGTCAATAAAATCTTAAATCCTTGATTCTAAAAATACACAATCTTTATAATGTCTCATTCACTAGATGATCAATCCCAAGGGGATTCGATCTGATCTCTTCCACACAGGTTAACGTCATCGAATAATGCTCTGACATACAACCTCGAATAGGTCAAACATCATAGGAGGATGTCAATAAAATCTTAATTTCTTTATTCGAGAAATATACAATCTTTATTGTGCCTCAATCACTAGATGATCGATCCCATGGGGATCCACACATGTTAACATCATCAAGTAGCCCTTTGACATCATACAACGATCCTTCCGACCTATGTCGTCAGACTATGGTTTTTTCGACCTTCGTCGCCAAACTATAATCTTTCCAACTATCGTTGTCCGCCGACTGCAATCCTTCCAAACTTCGTCACCTACTACGGTCATGCCGACCTCCATCATCAGACAACTGTCTTTCTAACCCCTGTCTCCTGCCGACTACGGTCCTTCTGACCTCCGTCTCCTACCGACTACAATCCTTCCGACCTCTATCGCCTACTATGGTCCTTCCGACATCCATCACCAGAAAACGATCTTTCTGACCCCTGTCTCCTGCCAACTACGATCCTTCTAATATCCATCGCCAGACAACGGTCTTTCTGACACCTATCTCCTGCCAATTATGGTCCTTCTAACCTCTGTTGCCTACTACAGTCCTTCCGACCTACATCGCCAGACAACGGTCTTTCTGACCCCTGTCTCTTGCCAACTACGGTCCTTCCGACCTCCGTCGCCTACAATGATCCTTCCGACCTATGTCGCAAGACTACGGTCTTTCTGACCATCGTCGTCAGATAACACTCCTTCCAACCTATGTCGCTAAACAACAGTCCTTTCGGCCTCCTTCACTTGACTAAGGTCTTTCCGACCTTCATCGACCACCGACTACGATTCTTTCTACCTATGTCACCAGATAATGGTCCTCCTTGATCTCCGTCGCTAAATTATGGTCCTTCTGACCTCCGTCTCTTGACAACGATCTTTCCGACCTCCATCGCCAACCAACTATGAATGTTAATCTCTCTTGGTCGTGGGATCTCTCGAAGAAGGGCGATCCCCCTTCATGATCTCTATATAAGGAGGGGCCCTGCAGTCAGATAAGGGATACCGCTTATCTAAAAACCGGGGAAAGCCTCCTGTATAAGAAGAGAACTAAAAGGGAGAATAATTGAAGAAAAGAGGAAAGAATGAGACTCTTACTCAGTGAGGGGACCTAGACCTAGATAGTGGATACCACCTGAACAGGACCAGGGGGAAGGCCTTAGCCTGAGGAGAAGGAGGGAAGAAAAAGAGGAAAGAAGGAGACTCCTACTCAGTGAAGGGCCCTAGACTTGAATAGTGGATACCACCTGAACATGATTATGGGGAAGGACACAGCCAGAGGAGAAGAAGGGAAGAAAATAGGAAAGAAGAATACTCCTACTCAGTGAGGGGCCCTAGACCTGGACATTGGATACCGCCTATCCCGCCTGAACAGGACAAGGGGAAGGCCTCAGCATGAGAATAAGAGGAGAAAAGGAAGAAGGGCAAGTTTTTTCATACGCATAAGGAGGTATTTATAATGAGGGAGAGAGGAGGAGGAAGTTGGGAAAGTTGTAAAAAAAGGAGTTATATATATATATATATATATATATATCCTCCCCCCCACCTCCCCCTCTCTTTCATTAAATGCTAATGCTTTATACAGCTATGAAGAGCCCCTTTATCCAAGGAAAAAAGTAACACTGGAGTATAATCATTGGACACTTGGGGTAAACCATGTGGTCACCTTCTAGGCTTCTATTATCCAAAGGAAAAAAGGCAAAAAGCAACGGACCAAGTGGATAATTTATTGCTAGCTAAAAACCTGAGCGGGAAATTCCAAATGGCGAGCGGGAAACCAAAATCGAGTGGCTCTACAAGCGGCTCGTAAAGCTCATTTATGTGTCGCGAGTCGATCTCGAGCGCGACTTTTGAGCTCGACTCAAGTTCGAGCTCGATATTTGACTCACGAGTCGAGCTTGAACATCCTCTAACTCAAGCTCGACTTGACTCGTTTACACCCGCAAGCTGCACCGAGTGGGCGGCATGAGCCACGACTGGCCGCGAGCAGGCACGTGAGAGCGCGTGGGAGAGCCAGGAAACATGGGCAAGCGGGCACAAGCAGCGCGGCGGAAGCCTGCGGCAGCTAGTCTGTCCCGACACGTTTTTTGGCCCAATTTTTGGTCCGGAAAGGCCAAATCAGACAGTTTTGGGGTCCATGGAATCATTTTTCGACATTTTGGACTCAATTTTGAAACTTTTAAAGCTATTTGGGACCTCTATACCCAAGATTGGATTATTTTCAAGTTTCAAAGCGCACAAAAATTTTTCCAAGAGCTATAATGCATATTTCGGACTTCTATAGCTTCGGCGTCCGAAAAAAGGGGGCAACTGATACATCATCAAAAAATTATCTTGATCAGGCACAAATCTCGAGGCAAAATCAAGCTGAAAAATTCCAAAATTAAAATCGGGACTATCCGAACTATGATTTTAGCAAACTTACAGTCTAATTGAACGTCTCGAAAGCACGAATCCAATGACACCAAATTCAACTCAATCCGAGCCCAAATGGGTCTAAATCAAAGACCCAAAGTGTTGTTTGAAGGTTCAAACCACAATTTGGATTACCAAATAGTTTCCAATGTGACATGCTTATAGTTGAATCGAGCGGCTCGACGAAACGAATTCAACGAGCCCAAGATCACAAAATTCTGATATCACTAAGACATTTAAATGTCAAGTAGACGGTCCACGATCATGGGAGTCAACATCATTTGTCTATTCAAACCACTCCAAATTTGTCATTGATCTTTCTACTATTTACAGGTCATGCTATTCTAGAAAATCTATAAATAGAGCCTTCATTTCTCATGAAAGGGGACCCAAGCCAAAGGAAACAAGAGAGAGATCGAAGATCGCTCTTGCCTCCTCGCTCCTCCACGACCACCGCCCGGAGTTCTGTCGGACCACCAACTGATGTCGGAGTTCTGCCGGACCACCACCTAACGCCCGGAGTTCACCCAAACCACCACATGATGCCTGGAGTTCCGCCGGACCACCACCTGACACCGGAGTTCCGCCGGACCACCACCTGACGCCCGGAGTTTCGCCAAACCACCACCTGATGTCGGAGTTCCCCCAAACCACCACCCAACATCGAAAATCTATTAGACCACTAACTATCGCCCAGACTTCCGTCGAACCACCGTCTGACGCCTGACTTCCACCAGATCACTTACTGACATCGAGACTTTCACCGAATCACCAACAGACGGTCGGACTTCCGTCGGACCACCAAGTGACGCCAGACTTTCATCCACGTTTATCACTAGACTACAACTATATGGATGACATTTGTAATTTGATCTACCTCAAGTAAGGGTGTCAATTCGGGTCAACGGGTCGGGTTCAAGTCAAACCCGACTTGACCCGGGCGTAAACTGGTCAACTCGAATCTGACCTGTTTAGGTAAATGGGTCAGAAAATTAAACCCAGACCCGACCCATACGGGTTGCCAGGTTGACATGACCCGACCCGCAAACCCGTTTGACTAGGCGGCACGACGACAGGCAAGGCAGTGCCATATACGCTACACAGGCATGCAGGGTCGACGTCGACCAAATGGACAAGACGGTAGACGTGCGGGTTCGATTAGCCAGTGCGGGCGGCGAGCTGAGGTCCTGAAGTGGTGTTTTCGTCCCTCTTTAAGCGACGTCCAATCCCTCGGGCGCGATGTTCAATCCCTCGAGCAGTCGGGCCTCGATTTCAGATTCCCTCCTAGTTCCACGCGAGAAAAATTAAAAATGGGCAGACTGCAAAGGCGCAAAGCCAGGTTACCGGGTCAATTTTGGATTATCGGGTTGACTCAGACCTGGCCCGTTTATTAAACGGGTCAAAAGTTGAGACTAGAACCTGACCTGTTTGTTAAACAGATCGACCCTAACCCAGACTTTCTGGATCGAGTTTGGGTTGGGTTGTCGGGTCGTGTCAATAATTGACACCCCTACCCTCAAGGACGAGTCAGCCCACTGTACTCAACTCAATTTCTAGTTGAATAATTTTCAACTGTGCTAGGCCCCGTGGTTTTTCCCCCTTCCAGGGTTTTCCACATAAAAAATCTCATGTACTTTGTGTGTAAGCTGGATATGTGTATAATGCTAAGACGTATAATTATAACTCAATCCCTGTGTATATTCTAGCCCGCAACAATTTTCAATAAAGTATTATATTTGACATTCTATATTTTTATTAGTTGTATTACAACAAATCTATGATATATATATATATATATATATATGATTTTTAGTGACGCAAATTTTAGGTTTTTCTAGTATGATATTTTTTAATGAAGTTATTAATTGCATAGGAAAAACATTTAGTAGAATTTAATAATAATTTAAGTAAAAATAATAAAAGCTGACTCTGTGGCACATTAGATAAGGCACCGTCCATAGAACTAAAAGATGTTGGGTTCAAATCTGAGCAAAGTCGCTTGTTGGTTCTTTCAATAGTTTTCATTGATGGGTTGGTCGAGCCCATGCCCCATGGCCCCCACTGTAGCTTTGCTAGTGCCCATACACCTTAATGAGGCTCTAAAATATTTTAAAATCGTGCATGCAATATACCACATTCATGTGAAAAGAATGTGTGCATGCGAGCAAGATACAAGATCAAACAACTTCACTCGCTCCTTCATGAATGGCCAACTAAGAAAGATCAAGAGGGTTTAAACATCTAAAATTAGTAAGTGATATGGATAGGTTGAAACTATAAATGACATGATGAGGAGATATTCTAATGCAAAAAATCAAATCCACCCTAAAGAAGGGGAACCTGACACCATAATGGTATTAATTTATTTGAAATAAAAAGGACTATCATCAAACTTGCTATATTCTAAGTGATGTAAAATGTATTGGAGTTTAGGGTTCACTATCATCAAACCTAAGGCACCCTTATCTTTAAGGGTAAGAGAATTAGCAAATCCTTAAATCTGCGTGACTTACTAAATCTTGAAAGCCTTAAGTGACTGTTTGGATGCAAGAGAGGTTGACTTTTTGGAAACATTTGGTTAGGAAAATTGGAAATAATCCCGTAACATTCAAGAGACTAATAAAAGTTAAAAATCTTACCAATCTCTCTAGCCAAGGCATAAAAGGAGGTGCAGCCGGGGCCTCCGGTGAGCCAGAGAATGAGAGGGTCCTCGCTAGGTTTTCTCTCTGATTCTACGAAATAGTAGAAGAGATCGGCCTGCGTTACTTCATCCAAGCTCACATATCTTCACATCAATTGATGGTCATTGATATGCATACAAATATGTCCATATCACTTCCCTTGGAATCAATATTGTGATAGAAAAGAAAGGAAACATTTCTAAAAGAACAAAACGTTTATGAAATAAGCTCAGCCTAACCCTGTTTCCAGATGGAACGGAAGTGCGCCGTTGAAGCCGGGAAGATGAGTGATGGTTGCGGCAGCGATTATGCGGAGCATTAGACTGCTTGAGAAAACCAGAAGAAAGAGAAAACGCACAAGACTGCAATTCATAGACATGATCCGCGAAGAGAGAGAGAGAGAACGAGAAGAGGCCAAAAGAGGAGATCTTCCACAAGAGAAAGTGCCGATACTGGCAGCAGTGACACTTAGATTAATAAATATTTGTTTAGGAAATACATACACAAAATAATCATAAGGTGCTTAATAATATTTTAATAAGAGGCGAAATAGTTTAAAATTTTTTTCAACTATTTAAGGTTTGAGTTTTTTATTTCTATTAACGCTGGAGGTGCTAAATTTATTTCTTTATTAATTATTTCGTGCAATTTAAATTCATATAAATTTAACATTCTTATTTTTTCTTTCTTAATAATCAAATTATTTAATTGACATATTTTTTATAATTTATTATATATGTTATATTTTACTTTTAATTGCTGCTATTTCAACTTTTCTCTAATATAAATATTTATCTATTTTTTTATTTTGTCTTCTGTTCGTTTCAATATCAATAACTTTTTATAGCCCAATATATAAATTTATAGAAAAATATTAATATCTGGGCTTGTTATATTATTAGTAATATTATGTTCTAGAAAATTTGCACTAGTAGAGTTGGTATCTTATATCTCTTCCTCTAACTCTTGGATCTCTCCATTTATAGAGAATGAGTTCTTATTTATAGTTTTTTTGTTATGAGCATTTTGATAAATTGGGTCAAAATTCAAAACATTTTATCATAAGATCCATAATGATTCATTTGATCGTTAAGTATTTTGCCAATACCAACGTGCCTTAATGATGTTGGAATTAAGTGTATTGGGCTTGTAGGATTCGTCTCGTCAAACTGCTCGATTCGATTATAAGCATGCCAAATTGGAGTTCATTTAGTCGTTCAATTAATATTTGAAGTTTTCAATTATGTTTCGAGTGTTTGATTTTTTATCTCTGTATTTAGGCTCGAGTTAGACCATATTTCGAATCATTAGCTTTGTTTTATCAAAATGTCTAATTTGATTATAAGTTTTCTTAAACTGGAACTCATATTATTTTGAATTTAATTATGAAAGTTCTATGTTTAAATTTCATCTCAAGATTAGTGACAATTATGCTTTTTTTCAGATATATGAAGTAAATAGTTTTTTGATATTTCATGTAATAGAAATCCAATTATTTATTTAAAATAGATTTTTAATCTTTCAACGTTTTTTAAAATGCTAATGTATGTCATGAGAAAATTAATCCCATCAAAGCTTATTATTTATATGAACTTTAAATCTCAAATCAATTGAATATTTGAATTAGAAATTTTGGGAATTGCTGCAAAGATTAATTAGACAAATACTAACTCAATTTGTTGAGGTGAATCCAATGAGATCAAAGTTAAGATTGAATCCAAATGTGCTTAGATCAAATGCTTTGAAGTAGAATTAGAAACTTATCAAAACCATTTGCCCCTAATTTTATCTAGTAGAAATAAGCGCATCAACAAAATTAAAAAAGAGTCATAGATCGTTCATTTTTAAATTCATTAGGACACTAGAAAATATTAGATAATTTATGAGACATTTGTTGGGTTTGTATTTTCGAGACGTTTAGTTCGACTATAAGTTTGCTGAAATCGGAGTTCGGATAGTCCCAAGTTTAATTTTGGAAGTTTCCAACTTAGATTTTGCCTCGAGATTTGTGCCCGATCAAGATAATTTTTTTAAGGATGAATCAATCCTATTCATTCATATTGATTTTTTAAATTTAAAATTAATATTATGAACTTTTATAATTGTTGCGTCCAGAAGTATTCGCGGCAGTAGAGAAGTATTTAACGTCTTAGCATTGTACGAAAATCCGGCACGCAATCAGATAAGGAGAGAGGGTCTAGCATTTATGAGACACCAAGATTTTTACGTGGAAAACCCCTGTAAAATGGGGAAAAACCACGGGGCCTAGCCCAGTTTGAACGAATCCACTAGTATTCGTAGTCGATTACAAATGAGGCCCTTCCTTGGGAGAAGGCCTTAGCTTGATGTACATCTTATGGAGTACATTACATGATGTAAATACAAATAATCACTATTGACATGTTTGCTTTGTTAGAAGGATTGCAGTCGGCGAGCGACGTAGGTCAGGAGGACCGTAGTCAGCTGGCGACGGAGGACTGTAGTCGGCAGGCGACGTAAGTCAGGAGGACCGTAGTCGGC